TTCAGTTAATTATTCAACAGGTTTCCAAAACAAAACAAAAAAATCATTGATTTGTTGCCGGTGTTGTTTCATTTCATTTTTTTTCCTCATCCTCATCATTGTCATATTTTTTTGTACTTAAAAAAATTAACCAAAAATTAATTTTAGCTATTTTGCCTCTCTCTGTATGCCACTAACTAATCATTATGATCATCATCATCAGCGACTACTGAATATTGTCAAAGTTCATTTTTTGATCATTCGCAAAACAGACAGATCAATCAGACAACATAATAAAAAAAACCACTTGTTGCTTTGATCAGATCATCAGATCAGACACAAGGCAGCTATAGATTCCAATTCCATTACTGACAATACAAACATATACAAGCACAAGAGAAAGTGAAAGTGAGAACCACCACCACCACCACCAATAACAAATGTCATTTTTTTTCTAAATAATCATTTGAGACTTTAATCTATGTTTGATGATGATTATTATGATGATGGTGATATTAAATATCATTGAACAATCAATGAATGAATGTTTGTATGTGTTGGTTGATTAGTTAGTTAGTTAGTTGGCTGGTTGGTTGGTTGGCTGGTTGGTTGATTGGTTGATGTGTCTATGTAATAATCAAAATAGAAACAAAATTTTTTATTTTCATTGAAAATTTTACTTCTTCACTTCACTTCTTCTTGATCATCAAATAATTTTCTGATCTTGCTATGTTTGCTAGTTTTATTTTCTTTTCTTCTCTGGAGGTTTTGGATTACCATTTTTGTCGTTTTTTTTTCATTTCAAATAATAATAATAAACTGTTGCTGGTTGCTTAGAATAGATTGCTTTCTCATCATCAATATGTATCCATCAAGTGTATCCACCAAATATATGTTTGTTTTCCTTTCCTTTTTTTCGTTTGTCTGGTGGTTGACAAAAATGGAAAATCTTTTTATTTTTTTTTTATTGTTCCCTGTTATCAGTAGGTCTATTGGTTTAGATTTGTTTTGTATTTGTGGCTGCTAAGTGAAAAAAAATACAGTGATAATCAAATCATCATCGTCATCATCAAAACCATGGTAACATTTGGTTGATGATCCAATCAAACAATCTCATCATCGTTTTTTTTCCTCCCATTCTGGTGTGTGTGTGTGTAATAGATCAAACGCTTTTCACCAAAATAAACGTTGAAATCGAATACAGGAGATTCTTTTTTTCGCTTGAAAACAAAAGGGGTAAGTATTACCGGATTTTTTACTTGAATTTTCCTTGGTGTTTTCTCTCTTTTTCTCCAACAAAATCCATCATAAATCAGGTCCATCATCATCATAAAATCGATTGAATATGATGATGATGATGATTTTTCTTAGAAAATTTTTGTACGATTAACGATTTTAATATGATAAAATAATGATAACAGTGAAAAAGAAAAAACACAGCCACCAGTTGTTGTTAATGTAATATATGGTGATAATGATGATGAACAAAACCAGAAATGCAAAAAAAAACATCATCATTTGATTGATCAAATCAAATTAACGATAAAACAAATTATCGTTTGTTGAATAAATTTCTCATCATTATCGGTTTGTAATATGATTTTTCGTTCGTTTGTTTGGTTGGTTGGTTCAACCAGAGGCAACAACAACAACAAGAAAACCACTAACCTCAATGAAAATCAATATATATTTTCTTTCACTTTAGAAGACTTTTCAATCATTAAGATATCATCAGACAACAGCGACAAAGAATGATTTTTTTGTATGTAAGAACTTTGATTTTTTTTTCTACAAACAAAAATAATAACGACGACATAATTTTTTCATGTAATTTTTTTCTTTTTTTTCGGTTGAAATTCAATCACATCAATATTATCATCATCATCGTGTTTTGAATATCCGTTTCTACTCAGATTGCCAAATCGATTGTCTTTATTTATTTACCATCATCATCATCATCAATCAATGAAGGATCAATTTTGGTATGAATGTAATGTTTGAAAATATGTGTTTTTTAATCTTTCTTTCTTCTTCTCTACATAATAGGTACCAGATTTTTTTTCGGATTTCCGACTCCTTTCATCCATCCATCCAATCATCAATATTAAAGGGATCAGTTTCTCTTTGGTTATCTAGCTGTATGAGTACCAGACCAGAATTTGTCTTTGTTTTTTTTTACATTGACATTTTTTTCTGGCTTTTTTTTCTCCCCTTTCACACATTCTGGCTCAATCACATCATAAAGCTAGGTTACCAAAGTTAAACAAGATTCCAGATAAGCATCTTTATCATCGTAAAAAATATTTTTTAAAATTTTTTTAAATGAAAAAAAATAAATAATTTTATTTTCTTATTTTTTTAAAAATTATAATAATAAAATTTAAAGATTTTCAATTTTATTAATAACTGATGCTAATGCACCAACCGTGACATTACTACCAGCACCAGTATTACTACTAATCGATGTTTCAGAATGATATTGACAAGCACAACGTACTTCATCCAAAAATGATTTTGAATTATGTATAATTGATCCACCTAATAAAATTTTTATCCCTTGTAATTGTCTATTCATATTATAAACAGTTAATGATTCTTCATATGTAATACCACCAATAATAAATATAATTATTTCTTGTGGTCGTTCACGTTGTTGTACACTACCTAAAAATGGATATAATGTTTCACGTAATCGACAACGATTTAAATCTTCAATCAATTCTTTTATAACAGGTATATGTTGTGTATAGATATTTTCAACACCTTTAAATCCTTTGATTACTTTTTTCGTAAATGCACGAACATGTTCGGTTGTTGTTAGAAGTTCTTGAGTTGATATTGTACTTTTGCCAATACCACCACCAACACCACTTGTACGTTGTTGTTTGTTTTTCAATCCACAAAATTCCAGCAATTGATTGATAATTTTTATATCACCAGGATTCATATTTCGACGTTCCAACAAACGACACAAACCACGTGTATCACAATTCGAATGATTATGGAATGTTAATGCATATAATAATGTTAAACGTATTGCATCACAATTTCTTATTTTATCCGATGATATAAGTAATTGTATTCGTTTTAATGATTCTGAATGATTACCAGTTGAAATTAATTCTTGTTCAGCTTCCGATACTTCCAGTAATGAATTGGCATTAACAATACGACAAATTTCATCAATCAATGTAACATGTTTAGTAACTGTACCGGACATTTTCCTAAATTGTGGATAAGTTTCAATGAATGCTTTCATATCAGCAATGGTTTCAATTTTTTTCTGTTGTTGTGTTTTTTGTTGAAAATCTTCCATTAAACATTTAATATTTGAACAAATTTCACCATAATTTAGATATAAATTTTTTTGATAAAATTCATCTTGATCTTGCGATAAGACAATTTCTTTCAATTCTTTTTGTATACCAGGTACATTAGCTAAACTAATACGATTATTAACAATAGTCATTAGTTCATGTAACATTGCCTGATATGTCCATTGATTTAATAATGGTGTTATTGGATCAAATTTACGATCCAATATCAACAGGATTGGTTGCGATTCGGTTGATGTATTTGAATCGAATAAAACATTTTCCTTAGCGATTGTTTGTCGTATTTGTTCAGCCAGACGTTTAGCCATTTCAGATGATGATTGATAACGAATTAAGGGACAACGATTAATTGATAACAGAATGGAAATAATTCCCTGTGTAATACGTTGAAATGAAATTGGATTCCAATGATTAACATTTTGATAACATGATTTAACATTCAATGAAAATGTATGTGAATTGATTGCAAGATAATCGGCATAAAATTCTTGTACATCTTTTACTACTTCAAATTCATCAACTTCAGCCAATGCTTTAATGTCGGTTTTACTGATGATATTATTGAAATCTGCCAAAAAAAAAAATTCGTTGAAAGATATTTTCGAGAAAAAAAACTACTTACTAATAAAATACTGTGAAAAACGTGGATGTTTAAGTTCACGAATCAAATAGGTAATATTTTTTTCGGTTGGTCGAACAAAAACAATACATTTAACAAATTTTAATGATTCTTGTCGTGGAACATAATTTTCAATTGCTTCAAAAAGATAAACTTCTTTTTGTAGCATATCCGATTGTGCATAAACAATACTGATGATACTGATCTATTTTATTAATAATTATCAAATTAGTTTCAAGTTGTTTAATCAAATTCAAATCAAAAAAAAAATGCAACAAACCGTTTCTTTATCCATCAATAATGCTTTAATACCGGGACCAGCATCATCGACCATTTTATTGATATATAATTTCATTGCATGTACAACATCCATTCTTTCTTTTTTTTAATTCGTTTGTTTCGTTTGAGAAAAGTTAAAAATCCAAAAAGCAAAACTTCCATATGTTATTCGCGAATCAAGAATATATTTTTCTTTCTTTGATATATCACACATATGACGCAATGATGATTCGATTCGAGTTTGTTCCATTCATATAAGACGAGCGAATACATCCCCCATTGGATACACACAACTCTCAGATGTTCTATTTGTTGAGGCGTTACATTTACAATCAAAAAGAAAAACCTGCTATGTTTTTGTTGTTTTGGAAACAAAATCGCCTGACATTTTTTTCTAACGCAAACGCATTTGATAAATTAATTAATTAATTAATCAAATCAATCTCACAGCAAGCAAAGGAAACACGTTGATTTTGTGTGTCTAAAAAAAAGAATAGAATTTTTAAAAAAATAGATTTGTCACGTAAACAAAACAATGTTAAAAAATGTAATAAAATTATGGCTAAATTTTATATTAATCAACCGTCATTATCTGTATTGTTTTTATTGTATATAACCCTTTTTATTTGCACATTTAATCATCATCATAATTATGTTCATTCAGCGAATATCACTGTTGAAGAAGCAAAGGTAAAAATGATGAAATCTAAGAATATTAATATGACTGATTGATTGGTGATTTAGGATGTTGCTGTTCGTGATCATATGCTATTGATTACAACATTGGATGGTTCATTTCATGCTGTATCACAACGTAATGGTCTTATAAAATGGACAATACCAAATCGACCAATATTACAAATGTCACCATTAATTAATATAAGTGATGATAATAAACAACATCATTATCTTTTACCTGATCCAAAAGATGGTACATTATATTTATTTAATGGTTTTAATAATAAACAAAATCATCGTACAACATTGGAAAAATTACCATTTACTATAAGTGAATTAGTTTCAACATCACCATGTCGTAGTTCGGATGGTATGATTTATACAAGTAAAAAAATTGATGAATGGATCATTTTTGATATTGAAACGGGTACAAAAATTGATTCATTAAATACTGATTCACCTGTTTGTTCAACACCTGATGAACCACCACCGATCGCTACAAATCGTTTATTCAATACAGCAACGCACAATCTTTTACATTTGTTCAAAAGTGAATATCAAATATCGATATTTAGTTCGGAAAATCGTGAAAAAATATTCAATTTTACCTATATTGATTATTCACCATCAATGATTAGTTCAATATCACAAAGTTCATATGAATTTTTACATCTTACATCAAGTACAAATGGAAAAATTGCTACAATGGATGTTACAAATGGTCATAATTCTTTTCTATGGTCATTTGAATTTGAATCACCAATAGTATCGATATATCGATTATCTGAAACGGCAAATTTTCCAATCATACATCGTGTTCCTTTCTTTACGATTGGTGGTTTTATTAATACGACAAATTTTTTCGGCACAAAACCAAATCTATTTCCATCGGTTTATGTTGGTGAATTGAATAGTGAATCAAAATCATTATATGCATTAAGTGCATTGGTTGAAACAAATCAAATACGTAAAGATTCGGATTATCTGATTGAAGGTCCATTACAAACTGGAAAATTTGATAATAGATTTAATCTATTAAAATATCTTTTAGGTTATTATGAATATCCAAAAGATTCGAATGTTAAATTTTCGGTTATACCACGTACACAGCTTATATCGAATGTTGCCTATTCAATCGATGATAATGGTGGTGGTGGTCGATCATCACAGCTACAAATTCAAGATTCATCGAATCAAAAAACATTGGCAAATCTGAATGATGATGCTACATATTATACATATTGGGTTTTCAATCTTATTATTATGTTTCTTTTACTTATTATAATGGCAATGTTATTACCAATTTTTATAATGTTTTATTGGGATAAACGTCGTATTATTACGGATAAAAAGATATCATCATCTTCGACGAAAACAACAACAACAATGAATGATAATCAAATTAGTATTGGTAAAATAACATTTAATCCAAGTCAAATAATTGGTCGTGGTTGTGCCGGTACATGTGTGTATAAAGGATTATTTGAAGGTAAACAAAAAGTTGCTGTTAAACGTATTGTATCGGATTGTTTTCGTTTGGCTAATCGTGAAATTGATTTACTTCGTCAATTACAACATCCAAATTTAATTCGTTATTTTGCAACTGAATTTGATGAACAATTCAGTTATATTGCAATTGAATTGGCTGAAATGACATTAGCTGATTATATTGAACGATTGAAAAATGATTCAATTGATTCAACATTAAGATTGGATAAAATTGATTTATTGAAACAAGCTTGTTCAGGTCTTTATCATTTACATTCATTAGATATTGTACATCGTGATATTAAACCGGCAAATATATTAATATCATCGAATAATTTACAAAAACAACCACCAAAAATAATGATTACGGATTTTGGTGTATCGAAAATTCTTACATCCGAATCAATAACAACAACAACAACAAATATGAATGATAATCGTTCAGCCGGTACTGAAGGTTGGATTGCACCGGAAATTCTTAAACGAAAATTGAATGGTGAAAATGGTGAAAAACCATCCAAACCAAATGATATATTTTCATTAGGTTGTGTAATATATTTTACACATACAGATGGTGATCATCCATTTGGTAATTTATTAAATAGACAAAATGCAATATTAAATGGCCAATCAGATTTGAATCGATTAAATAATGAAGATGATATTTGTCTTCGATCATTAGTTGAATCAATGATTGATCCAAAAATTGAAAATCGTCCACCAATTGAGGCTGTGGTAAAACATCCATATTTTTGGAATGAACAACAATCATTACAATTTATGCAAGATGTTTCGGATCGTTTTGAATGTATACAATCAGATTCTGAATTATTACGTACGCTGGAACAAGGTTCATTGGATGTTTGTCGTGGTGATTGGCGTCGTTGTATAACAATTGAATTACAAGAAGATTTACGTAAATTTCGTTCATATCGTGGACAATCTGTACGTGATTTATTACGAGCGATTAGAAATAAACGTCATCATTATCATGAACTTGATCCAAGTGTACAACGATCATTAGGTACAATACCGAATGAATTTTCAAAATATTTTACAAAACGTTTTCCAAGACTTATTATACATTCATATATTGCATTACAATCATGTTCAAATGAAGATTTATTTCAACATTATTATTATCATCATCAAAAATCTGTTGATAATAATAAAGATTCATTTCAATTTAAACCATTACCAAGAGCAACAGTACGTTGGAATGAAAGATGGAAAGATGATAATAATAATGGTAATGGTGGTGGTCAACATCCATTTGCATTCAATCTAAGACAACGAAAAAAACATCCACCACAATCATCATCACCTAATTCTTCTCGACAACAAACCAAAACGATTGAAAATGATTCGTCAAATGTAAACGACAAATCATCAGATCTAAACATTGAACAAACAAATGATTCCCATTTCTACAATGATGTATTCAAAGGGTGATCAAATCAAAAAAAAAATTTGGCCTTAAACTATTATGTTAACTTGTTAAAATCATATCAATTTTATTTTATTATTATAATATAATTACCCCATTTTTCATAATAAAATCGACAATTTTTTCAAAGGAAAAATTTTCTTCGATTAACACCTTGTTCATGACGTTGTAATTTCCATTCATATTCACCAAATTTTGAATCAAATGTACCCAATTGTAATGATTGTAATTTCATTGTAAATCGAGGGCCAAGTTCACTGATAGCAACACGTTGTCCATTTTGTTTAAATTCATATAAATGATGACGAAAAAATATATAATCACGTTGATTATGAAATGTAATCACTTTACGGCCACGAAATTGTGGTTGAAAATGAAATAATGATGCTAACATTCGACCGATTGTATGACCAAGACGTGTAGTCATATTGTTGACAATAATTTCCGGATGACTATTATTATATGCAGCACGTTTTTTTAATTCTTTACAATAACGAATACTGCTTAGCCGGTAATAAGCAGTAGGTCCATTCGGTAAATGTATGTGTAGTAAGGCATCTGATGAAATGTTGACAAAGTTTGTTAGTTTGTGTGGCAGATTCAACACTATTATTGTCCTGAAAGACATATACTTACTTGGTTTAGACCAATCTTCATTGACAACCAAAATATCAGTATAACCACGTTCATTAGCACATTTAACTAATTTTTTTAATGGACATTTTTTTCGCCATCGTAATTCCGAACCAATAATTGTATCACGTAATTCACGACAAAATCTAATCGTACGACGATGTGAATTATGGCTTGATGTGATTAAAACTTTTGGTGGAATTTGTTTACTGAAATATGCGGACATTTCATCCAATGATTCATCCAGTTGAATTTCTTCATCATCAGCATCAACTTGATCATCATTCGGTGTTCGAGTGTTTTCGATTGTCCGGGGAATTTGTTTTGGTAATCCAAGTTCCTGTCGATTGACGAATATTTTTTTGATTTTTGAAACATAAAACAATTAGCTTACCTTTTTACGTTTACGTCGTAAACGTTTTTCTTTTCCACGAATTTTTCGAACCTCTTCACGATGTAATCGTTTGAATTTGGACAATTTTTCCAAGTTTGATACAAACCGTTCTTTTGGTGGTTCTTCAGGCACTGTTGTTGTTGTGGTCGTTTCTTCTTCGCCTTCATATTCATCGGCTCCATTATCAACTTGATCATCATCAATATAATCATCAAATGAATGGTAGTCATCGTCTTTTAAATCACCATAAAAATCCTTATTTTGATCCATGTTTCAAGAATCGTCGAACGAATCGAACGAATAAGAAAAAAACGTGTGCGAAAACATGGAACCAAAAAAAATAAATCAGTGCCATCTAGAATCAAAGAATCGAATCATTCTTTTCCGCTCAATTTCGGTGTGACAATTTTGCTGTTTATTTTTGGTGTTTTTTCGTTTTATCAAATCAAATTTGAATTAAATAACTTTCAAAGACCCAAAATGTCATCAGATGAAGAAGATAATGATGATGATTATTTAACAAAATCATCATCATCATCATCATTATCGGCCAATCGAATTGCAAGCGCAATATTATTCGGTAATATTGATGAAAATGGTGAATTAACTGATAATATATTTGATGATGATGAATGTCGACGACATATTGATTCATTAAAACCACATTTATCATCGATTATTTCATATGAAGATATTATTGAAAATGATGATCAAGATGATGATGATGACAATGATTCTAAACAACGACCACAATCGGATAATAATGATAAACGTTCATCAGACGACGATGGTAAAGGTATGTTTGGATTTTTTCAAAAAAAAAATGATAGATTTTCGAACATTTCAAAATTGTTATTCTTCGTTTACTAGAATCGGATTTTGATACAGACTTGAAATCAGTGAATGCAGTTGATTATTCCGATATAAATGAATTGGTTGATGATTATGATGATGAAAAACAATCTTTCGTAGAAGATTTACTTGAAAATATTAATCGAAAAACTGAAAATGATTATTATGATGATAATGATAATTATGATGATGATAGTTTGACATTGAATCGCCAAAAAGATAATGATAATCATGAAATTCAAAAAGATAAAGATGGTTTTGTTATACCACAACAACCGATTCATCGAAAAATATTATCGAACGATATTGGTGAAGATCAAATTGATCATTCAAAATCAAATGAAGAAAATGAACAACAACAACAACAACAACAAGCATGTAAAAAACGTCTGGATACCCCTTTGGCAGCAATGTTACCATCCAAATATGCTGATCTTGATGTTACCGAATTATTTCCCGAATTTCGTCATGATCAAGTATTACGTTTTTCACGACTGTTTGGTCCGGGAAAATCATCATCATTACCGCAGATTTGGAAATCTGTTCGTAATAAACGAAAAAATCGTCATATATTCGAGAATAAATTATTTATTGTACAACAACAACAATCAAAAACATCATCACCATCAATCGATATGGATGGTAATAATAATAAAGATATTTGGCAATTTAATGCTTGCTCATTGAATGATATACCAGCCGATATGATTGAATTGGATGATGAAATTCGTCTGTTACAAAATGATTTTCTGGATGATGAATATGGTAAAAATGGTTCGGGTAAAAATGATGATCATAATAAAATTGCTGAATGGCGTTATGGACCGGCAAAATTTTGGTATGATCGTATGAAAGTACCTGAAAATGGTGATGGTTTTGATTATGGTTTTAAATTGAAAAAACAAGATACATTTTTTGATGATAATGATAATCGTGATGATAATGACAGAAGCGACAAAGATGGTCATCGCGAACCATCAACATTGGATAATCCATCATCAACAACAACCGCAACATTATCAAACGATGATGATGATGCATTTCATTTGGTTACACAATATCATTGGGAAAATGAAATTATATGGAATGCTGATGAAGTAAGACAGAAAATTTTAGCAAAATTAAATGATAAACATTTGGCATCTGGTTGGCTGCCATCCGGTCATAATCGTACAGCAACTGCATTTACACAACAAATTCGTGGTTCAATAACACCGAAGCCATTACCACAATCATCATCATCATCGTCATCGTTGAAGAAAAATGATAATAAAAAGAATAATCCGGATAAAAATGATGATCAAGACGGTGGTGGTGGTGGTGGTGATCAATGGTTTTCAATATTTCCAATCGAAAATGAAGATCTTGTTTATGGTCTTTGGGAAGATTCAATTATATGGGATAGTGAAGCAATGGATCATATACCAGAACCACCATTACTCGTACTGGATCGTAATGATGAAAATATTATATTAGAAATACCAAAAGATGAAGATCCAAATGAAAATAATAAAAATCAACCAACAAAAGAAAAAAAAGAAGGTATAAGAAAATCAAGATTATTATTAGGTAAAGCTGGTGTTATTGCTGAACCGGAAATTCTACAACCACCATCACCACCATCAAGTGAAAAAGATCCATATAATATATCGAATGATGAATATTATGCACAGAAAGCTAATACAACCGATGTAACATTGAAATCAAATGTTGGCAGTAATCTTATTCAGCATTCAATACCGGCATTAGAATTAAGGCAACCATTTTTTCCAACGTTTCTTAGTTATCAAAGATTACGTGCATTTCATCGTCCATCATTAAAAAGATATTCACATGGTACTATTGCCGATACATTACCACATGGTGTACAACCATTAGTTAAACATATTAAACGTAAAGCTAAACAACGTGAACAAGAACGGCAAGCATCTGGTGGTGGTGAAATGTTTTTTATGCGTACACCTGAAGATCTTACAGGTAAAGATGGTGATTTGATTTTGACGGAATATTCGGAAGAACATCCACCATTAATTATGCAAGTTGGTATGGCTACAAAAATTAAAAATTATTATCGAAGGGTATGTTGTTGTTTGTTTTGTTTTTTCTGTTCAACTTTTTTTTCATTTTCATCATTTTCATACAGAAATTGGGCAAAGATAGTGGTGCACCAAATTATAAATATGGTGAAACTATTTATAGTCATTCATCACCATTTCTTGGAAATCTTCTGCATGGACAATCAATACAAGCATTGGAAAATAATTTATTTCGTGTACCAATTTATGAACATCAATTACCGGAAACAGATTTTCTTGTTATACGTACCCGTGATAATTATCATATTCGTGAAGTTGAAACAATTTATACGGTTGGACAGGAGTTACCGCTGTACGAAGTTCCCGGACCGAATTCAAAAAAAGCAAATAATTTTATGCGTGATTTTTTACAAGTTTTTATTTTTCGTTTATTCTGGAAAAATAATGATAATCCACGAAGAATTAAAATGGAAGATATAAAAAAAGCATTTCCATTACATTCGGAAAGTTCCATACGTAAACGTTTGAAACAATGTGCGGATTTTAAACGTACCGGTATGGATTCTAATTGGTGGGTATTGAAAGCAGATTTTCGTCTACCATCGGAAGATGAAATTCGTGCTATGGTATCACCTGAAGCTTGTTGTGCATATTATTCAATGTTAGCAGCCGAACAACGTCTTAAAGATGCTGGTTATGGGGAAAAATCAATGTTTGCACCGGATGATGCTGAAGATGAAGATTTACAAGTAAAAATGGATGATGAAGTCAAAGCAGCACCATGGAATACAACTCGTGCATTTATATCGGCAATGAAAGGCAAATGTCTGTTACAATTGACTGGTGTTGCTGATCCAACTGGTTGTGGTGAAGGATTTTCATATGTTCGTATACCGAATAAACCACAACAATCAAAAGAAGAACAACAAAAAGAACCATTACCGAAAAAAACTGTTACCGGTACGGATGCTGATCTTCGTCGTTTACCATTGAATGCAGCTAAACAATTATTACGGAAATTTGGTGTACCAGATGATGAAATAAAAAAATTGAGCCGTTGGGAAGTTATCGATGTTGTTCGTACATTATCAACCAAACAGGTGAAACAACAAACTGGCGATAGTACAGGTGGACCAGGTGAAGATGATGCTATGAGTAAATTTGCACGTGGTAATCGATTTTCAATTGCTGAACATCAAGAACGTTATAAAGAAGAATGTCAACGTATTTTTGATCTACAAAATCGTGTATTAGCATCGAATGAAGATCTTTCTACTGATGAAGATGAAAGTGAAGAAGAAGAAGATTCAGAAATTGAAGAATTAGGTAAAAATATTGAATCAATGTTGGCGAATAAAAAAACAATCAATCAAATATCACGTGATAAAGAAGAAGAAGAACGTAGAGAATTGAAAAAATTAATGTTACGTGATGAATTATCGAATCAAGGTGGTGGAAAACGTAAAAATGATCCAAATGCTGCTGATAACGCTGATAATAATGATAATAATGATTTACAAATGTCTTCATCATCAACATCATCCGGACGAATATTGAAAATATATCGAACATATACAGATTCAGAAGGAAAAGAATATGTTCGTATTGAAACTGTACGTAAACCGGCTGTTATCGATACATATGTACGTATACGAACAACAAAAGATGATACTTTCATAAAACAATTTGCATCAACAATGGATGAACAACAAAAAGAAGAAAAACGTAAAGAAAAACGTCGTATACAGGAACAATTACGTCGTATGAAACGTAATCAAGAACGTGAAAAATTAGCAAATTCATTACGTAATTCATATGGTATTATGACAACAACGGCTAACAATAATTTTTCAATGATGAATATTGGTGGTGGTGGTAGTATTGGTTCGATTAGCGGTATCGGTAGTATGCAACCACAATCATCAACGACAACATCAACACCATTATCGGCTAATCTATCATCACCATTTTCATTTAATATTGGTGGTAGTAGTGGTGGTGTTGGTAACATTGGTACACCAACCACCTCATCAATCGATGGATTATCATCATCGTCAACATTGAATCGGAAAAAATCCGGAAATCGTAAAGAAAAAGAAACAAAATTAAAATGTGGTGCTTGCGGTAGTGTTGGTCATATGCGTACGAATCGTGCATGTCCATTATATGGTATTGCGGATTCTGGTTCTATACCGTTTGGAAATGATTTATCAACTGATGATAGTTTTGGTGCTAGTGGTGGTGGTAGTAATTTTATTGGTGGTAGTATTAGCCAATCAACAAATTTGGATGATGAAAATTTTGTAAAATTAGATGAAACAAAATTAGTTTTATCAAAAACCGTAATGAAACAATTGGATTTAGAACAACAAAAACAACAACAATTAGAACAGGAACGATTACAGAAAAAATCAGCAGCAGCTGCATCAATAAAATTAAAAATACCAAAAGATATATTGAAAAAACGTAAAAAACGTTCCGCAACCCAGGATAATAATGATCAATTGGATTATTTACAAAAACCAGATTATAAATCAGCAAATCGTCGTCGTACTGATCCATTAGTAATATTATCGGATATTTTCGAAGAAATATGGAATGAAATGCGTTCAATACAGGATTCTGAACCATTTCATCAACCGGTTAATGTAAAAACTGTACCAGATTATTATAATATTATAACCAGGCCAATGGATCTGCAATCAATACGACAAAATATACGTAATAAACGTTATAAAAATCGTGAAGAATTTTTAAATGATATAAATTTAATTGTAAAAAATTCAGAAATTTATAATGGACCAAATCATGTATTAAGCGTTATTGCAAGACGTTTAATGGAACTTTGTGTATTGAAAATTCAACAAAAAGAAGATGAATTAATTAAATTGGAAAAAGTAATCAATCCATTATTGGATGAAGATCAAATTGCATTTTCCTACATACTCCGTACAATTGTTGCACAAAAATTAAAAACAATTCCGGATACATGGTCATTTCATAAACCAGTTAATAAAAAGACTGTAAAAAATTATTATGATATAATAAAAAATCCAATGGATTTGGATACATTGGAACAAAATGCCGCAAATCATTTATATCGTACAAGGGAAAAATTTTTAGAACATGTAAATCTTATATATGAAAATAGTGTTAAATTTAATGGTCAGGATAGTGAATTTACAAGAAAAGCAGGACAAATTGTTGATGTAGCCAATAATGAATTGAAACAATATGAATTACAATTGATTGAATTGGAAAAAGCAATCGATAATCATAATATTGATCGATTTAATGATGATGATGATATGATGATGGTCGATGATGATTATGATGATGATTATGAATCAAATATGGCTGAAGAATATGATGATGATCAACAACCACCACCTGCTAAACAGCCAAGATTCAATGATGGTGATGATCGAAATCCGAATGAAACTGATATCGTTGCTGATGATTTACAAATTGAAAGTGGTGATGAAAGTGATGATGATGATGATGAACGTTCAGAATCTGGTTGGCAACAACAACAACAACAACATTCGTTTATTGGTGAACAACAACAACAACAACAACAATCATCGTATCATCAAAATATGGATGATTTTGATGAAAATTATGATCCATCAGAATTTTTATTAAAAAGTTCATTTGCACAACAATCATCATTATATCAGCAACAACAACAACAACCTATTGAAGCCAACCTTGATGATAATATTGAAGATGCTAATAATAATGGTAATGAACCGATTGTCGATGTATCACAAGATCTTGATGTATCCGATTCGGATGACGATGATGATGATAATGATAATGGAGATGCTGCTGATAACAATAATGCCGATGATAATGAAGAAGATAATGAATTATGGTTCTAATAATAATTTATAATTTTCATTTTTTTTATTTTATTTTGTAATCATATTTTTTTAATAAAAAATCATTTGAATAAATAATAAAATTTCATTTAAAAAAAATTAAAAAAAATTTGTGATTTTAAATCATCAACCTAACCTCACTCAACTATGAATCTCAGGCATAGGCATAGTCATCAACCTAACCTCACTCAACTATGAATCATAGTCATAGACATAGTCATCAACCTAACCTCACTCGACTATGAATCACAGGCATAGACATAGTCATCAACCTAACCTCACTCAACTTAAAATTCAAATTTAAATTATACAATTTTCAAAATCATAATTTTATTATAAAATGATATTAGTGTTATATTTATGTGTTATGGTTATCATCATTTTTTTATTAATAGTATTTACAGACTTTATATACAAAAACTAAATTGTGAAATGACTCAGGTTTAAAGTATGTTACATTAGTATTATAAATATTTGATTTTAGAAAATTAATTTTATTTAATCAATAGGTTTGTTTTAAACAATCGACTGGTTTATATATGGTGTGACAAAGAAACTCAAGTTCAACAATGATGAGGAAAACGAATTTAATGATAACAATAAAGCAAAAATAGTCCTGTGTCGATGTCGATATGATAAAGTTGATTGGTATATTAAATTTTCATGTTTTCGAGTACCACAATTTTTTTGGCTTAAAAAAATTTACATTTGCGTTTTCCCATGAATTTATTCCTTTTTTTGTTATCCAAAAAATTTGCAAAAAGGTGATCGATATATTGAAAAAATGACAATAAGCCAAAACAATGGACTGAAAGATGGATTTTCAACCCACGTAGATTCAATTTCAATAATTTCTGTAAATCAAAATCATATCGAAAATTATATTCTATATGGTAAATGAATTTGTATTCAATACATACCTGGGATCCTTTTCCTTTTATACTAAGATCCTTGATATTTTGTCGTTGATCCATTTAATGATTTAATAGAATTTATTCTTTGTGAAATCCAATTCATGTTTCATAAAATAATAGAGGAAAAATCCCTCACAAAAAAAAATGATTTCACCTGAAAAGACATTGTAATGAATTGTAATGAATTTTCGAAAAATCAATTTTCTTTAAGACAAGGACAATTTCTGCATGTCTCTTCGATACAATTTTTAAAGAATTTTTTTTCAATGTGGTTCTTTACAACAACAACATTCGAGCATCACTCGAATTCGAACATTTCCTTTTTTTTCGAATTCGAACATTTCCTTTTTTTTNCATAGTCATCAACCTAACCTCACTCAACTAAAAATTCAAATTTAAATTATACAATTTTCAAAATCATAATTTTATTATAAAATGATATTAGTGTTGATATAGTGTTGATATATCAATATTCATAATACTTTATGAATATTTGATTATAGAAAATTAATTTTATTTAATCAATCAACATTAAGTTGATTGGTATATTAAATTTTCATGTTCTACAATAGAGTGGCACAATTTTTTGGCTTAAAAAAATTTTTTCCCACAATCTGCCCATGAATTTATTCATTTTTTTTTGTTATCCAAAAAATTTGCAAAAAAATGTGAAAGGATTTGTAACTGTGATTGATCAATAACTGGGACTGAAAGATGGATTTTCAACCCACGTTGATTCGATTTCTATAATTTCTGTAAATTAAAATCATTTTGAAAATTATATTCTATATGGTTAAGGAATTTGTATTCAATACATACCTGGAATCCTTTCCCTTTTTTTGCTAAAATCCTTGATATTTTGTCGTTGATCCATTTGAAACATTTAATAGAATTTATTCATTCGGAGTGATTTCTTCGTGAAATCCAATTCATTAATCAGAAAATAATAGGGGAAAGATCTCTCACAAAAAAAATGATTTCACCTGAAAAGACAATGAATTTTCGAAAAATCATTCTCTTCAAGACATGGGCAATTCCGGCATGTTTTTTCAATACAATTTTTAAAGAATTTTTTTTCAATGTGGTTCTTTACAACAACAACATTCGAGCATCACTCGAATTCGAATAATGTTCGAATTCGAACATTTCCTTTTTTTTCGAATTCGAACATTTCCTTTTTTTTCAAAAAAATTTCACATATAACGTAACACAACTGCAGTAAACGGTATTAATGCGTAACGTTTAAAAAATGGTTTCACTTTGGTTTATACCGCTACCACCAAAAAAAAAAAATGGTAGCTGCTTTCGAATGTTACTAACAAAACATAACAGCATGGCATAACACAAACAACCAACCGATCCAATCCAGAAATACACACACACTTAACACTTTTACACACGTGTATGGAATGTTTTTTTTTGCGAATGAAACTCGAATTCTTTCTTTCTTTTTGTTTTTTTTTCCAGAAAAGATAAAAATCATTTTCAGTTGTTGTTTGGTCATATGAATTTTGTTTTGTAAATATAAATTGTGAAAAAGAGAGAAAGCGAAACTCAATAATCCAACAATCTAAATGCGAAATCTGAAAAGTTTTTTATTGAAAACTTCGTAGCTTAGAATCGTTTTTGTCGATATTTTTTTTCATAAATTTCTTTCATCAAATCTAAATCAACCGCCCAACCAATCAACTATGAATCTTGAAATATTCAATAAATTTTCACGGTTACAATCCGATACGAATAATACTTTACAGCAAAAAGAATTGTTGGATTATTTTCAATCATTAAAATCCAATCCAAATGGTTGGAAAATCTGTATTGAAACATTATTATCCGATTCGGTTCAAGATGAAATGATAATATTTTTTTGTTTTCAAGTAATTGAAGATTATATAAAAACACGTTATAATAATCATAATAATAATAATGATCAAAATAATGATCGTATTATACTTTGTCATTTTATAATAACATTATTTGAAAAAGAAATATTACAAACAAATTATCTGCAAAATAAATATGCACATCTAGTTAATACATTATTTTTGATTGATTTTCCATATCAAAAATGGCCAACATTTTTTAATGATTTTTTAAAACGTTGTGAAACACGTTTAAAATGTGAATTATTTCTTCGTATTTTGATACAAATTAATTTAGATATTGCTGATCGTGAAATACCTAAAACAGCTAAAGTAAGTTTTTGAAGGAAAAAATTGCAAAATTTTAATTCAATTTTTCATTATTAGGAAATGGAACGAAACGCCCGAATCAAAGATATGATGCGTGAATCTTGTCTAATGGATTTGGCACAATTCTGGTTCAATATTATTGTAAATTTATTGATGATGATGTTTTCTTCTTGATTAACACTTTTTCTTCCTTCTTCTTTATTTTCCCTATTAGAATACATATCATGAAACATGTCCACAGATTGTTTGTCTTTGCCTCGATGTAATCGGTGCCTATATATCATGGATCGATATTAATCTTATAACAAATGATTCAATAATGCCAATATTATTTATGTTATTCGCTAATAATGTTCATTATCGTTGTTCAATTATTGAATGTTTTGGTTGTATATTGAAAAAAGGAATGGATCCGGTGGCTAAAACACAATTGATTGAAGAATTTCTTAATTATGAATTGATAAAAACAACATTGATTGAGATATTTTCGACTACAGGGATACCGAACGGTGGTGGTGGAAGTGTTAACGGTGATATTGATTTTTTGGAAAAATTTGCATCATTAATCAATACAATAGGTATTGAATTGATTGAAGCACAGAAAAAAATTCGTTCACGTTTACAAACAACGACTACTGCTGTGAATATCGATGATCAACAAATAATTTCAAATGTAATTGAATTAAAATTTCCATTACTTTGTCAATTTTTATCACATAAAAGCTTAACGGTTTCGATTCGAATACATAATTTTGCACGGGATTATATTCAATGGTTAAAATCATATCCGAAAATTTCTTCATCATCAACAACAACAACAAATGAATTGATTACAGCAATGATTGAAGATCGTACACAAACATTAATATCAATTATTATTGATCGAAATAAACTGCTGGCTGCTACATATAAACATGAAGATGAATTTTTTAATGAATTTCGTAAATCAAGTAAAATATTATTCGATAATCTTTTACTATTGAAACCGGTTATAACATTGAATTTTATTTGTGATAAATTGGTTCTACCGACATTGATAAATTGGAAATCATTATCATTTGCTGAAATTGAATGTTCCCTATATTATTTTCATTTGATTGGTGAAAATTTAAATATTTTGGATATGAATATAAAATGTTTAGAAAATTTAGTACAAGCATTGATTACATCATCCATATCGATGTTTGATAATCCAATAACACAATCATTATATTTTGATCTTATCGTACGATATGAAAAATTTTTCAATTCAAATCTAAATCATTTATTATCACAGATTATTGTTTCATTTTTGGATGGTCGTGGTCTTCGTAATTCCAATCTCAAGATTCGAAGTAAAGTTTGTAAACTTTTTAATAAATTTACCAAAACATATATCCGTTCGAAACATAATTCACAGGAAAAACAACAACATTTTATTGATGATATATTGAAAAGAATACAGGATTTTCTTGAATTGGATATTGTTTTTGATTCAATTGATGATCTTTTGGAACAAGATCTTGAACATATTGTTAATTCAAATTATTTGATTCAACGTGAACAGATAAAATTTCCATATCCATTATCATCATCTGATCATTTGAATATTTATGAAACAGTTTCATTTTTAATTATATCAAATCATCATAATCAACAATATAAACAACAATTATTAAAAGAATTATTTGAAAAAATATGGAAAAAATATCAAGATTATAATGATGAATCGGAAAGAATTTTATTGTATTTAAATCAAAATGGTTTTACAAACGGTGGTATTGGTAATGTTGGTGGTGACTCAGTGTTAACAGCACAGAAAATATCATTACAAGAAAAACGTTTCGTTTTACATTATCATCAATCACATTTAATTGATATAATATCGGCTACATCAAAATCATTTTCATCGGTTAATACTGTGAAACAGATTGGCGTTCAACAATTTTATCTTTATTCATTTGAATTATTTATTAAATCGATTGTTGGTCATTCGTTGAATCAACAACAGCAAAATCAAACTACGATTGATATGGAAGCACAACATATTCTTCAATCATCCATTCGATTATATTTACATCGATTGATTGTATGTTTAGGTGAAGATGAAATGATACCAATGCTGCCGAATGCAATACAAACATTATTTCTATCATCAAATGAAATTAGTTCCAAATCAATATTAGAATTAATACCATTATTCAATCAGATAATACCAAAATATAAACATTCATGGCTATTTCAACGTGATATACTACCATTTTTAGATCGTATATTTTGTCCATTAATCAATCTATATTTTCGTTTGATTATCGAAGCTAATATTGATAGTGAACAAATTTCATTACAAAAATCATATTATTCATATTTACATTTACTTACTGTACATTGTTTGATGCCAAATTTTTTCGATATTGGTTTGTATTTGTTGATTTATTGATTCGAATTGATTTGCTACATTATCGATTTTGTTTTTTCTTTGCTAATAGAATCACAATTGATTGAAAAAATAATCGCATCATTGATCGAAGGTATTGTACATTCAACCGATTCATCGATTCAACGTACCTGTTGTCAAACAATGGCCAATCTAATTGATATTTATGGTTTGTGAATCTGAGTTTGTGTTTTTATCATTGAATTTTTAATTGATTTTTCTTTTTAAATTTCTTTGTAAAACAGTAAACGATATGAAACAAGCGGACAAACAAAATCGATCAATCAATCAATATTTTCAACGAATAATTTATGATCAATTAATTTTGGCTTGTTTGATTTGTATGTCCAGGAATTTTATCGAAGATTATGGTTCATGTCAAGATGCTATCGTGTTGATACGAAAATTAAAACCATTAATTGGTGATGAACAATTGGCAATATTTTTACGACAAGAAATTATACCGAAATATTTTTCCACATCAAATTTTTCAACAATCATCAGTGATGATAATCAACAACAACGACAGCAACAAATAAATGATGATATTGTTGATTTATTGTTAACATTAGATATAAAACAATGTCGAAAAAGGATTCGTCATACATTTTTACATTTTAAAAAATGATAATTTGATTTCCGTTTTTACAAAATTTTTTTTCTCAATGATTTAAAACTACACACACACACACACTGTCAAACTCAAATTCCCCTGTGATATTTTTATGTTGTTATTGTTAATTAATTATTTTTTTTTTTTGAATTTTTGGTCAACGGAAATCGATGATGAAAAAATTGATTGATTTTTTGAATAAAAAAAGAAACAATTTTTTTACAAATTTTATACGATAAAAGTTATTGAATTCGCCCAAAATGTTTACGAACAATGTATAAACATTTTTTTGTTGTTGATTATGATGCATGCTGGATGCAACACTGCTAGTAGCATTGATTATTGTTGTTGTTTTTTTTTTGAGAAAAAAAAATCATCAATCTACCACCATCAAAAGTAGTAGTATGAATGGAAGAAACATTGCAGCAATTCGAACGTCACCATCATCATCGAACATCATCGTCGAACATTATCATCAAACGACGGTAAAAGCATCAAAAAATTATTGTCAAAAAAACCCGGAAAAATTAAATTATCAAAAAACAAAACAAAACAAATCGATCGATCCGGAGAAAAATAATGGCCATCATTGATTATCCAAAAACTATTCCAGCCAAAAAAAAGTACCATCATCATCAACAACAGTGGAAAAAAAGTGGAACAATTTTCGTTGTTTTGTTTTGTTGTTGTTGTTGTTGTTGACAATCCGCAGTTTGATCATGTGAATATTTGTTGAAAGAAAAATAGAGAAAGAAAGAGACAACAACGAATATTGCGCCGTTTTATGATCAACCAAAAATTGATTTTCTTCGTTCGTTTCATCCAAATTTCAAAAAATCAAAAATCAGAATCCTGATCTGATCAATGAAAAAAAAAATTTATTCGAATGAATCTGCAAATTTCATCATATTGATAACACCAGTCAATCAAAAATCAATAAATCAATTTTTATATGTGTGTGTTGAACAACCAACAAAAAAAAAATCAATAATTTTTTTGAAGCAACAATTGGATTCATTTTTATTGTTGTTTTTTTCTATTGATTGATTGATTAAGCAATTACCTGTATATTTGTCTTGTTGTTGTTTTTATAATTGGCTTTTTGGTTTCGATGTTGATATTTGTTTTTTTAAAAAAAAGAGTAAAATACACCACCATCAAGCATCTTTCATCTATTAATCATTCGATCACCTTGATGATTTTTTGTGTTTGTCTTTTTTTTCCTTGATCATCGAAAATATCTTTTTCTCTCTAGAATCTTCTGGATTTGTTTTTTCTGAAAAAAAATATTGATTGTTGTTGGTGAAACAAACAAAAAAACTAACCATCATCAGCTAAACACAAACAAACAAATTAGTCTTGTCTCGTCTTTCTGTCGTCGTTTCGTTATCACCAGAAAACAAGAAAACTAAAGTGCTCAAATCATTGCTTTTTCTCTGCCTATATCACCAAAATAATTAAGATAACGGGACTAAACAACAACAACAACAACAAATAAAGTTATTGCAATCGTCTGTTGCTTTATGATTTTTTTGCTAATTTGATATTATCAAATAAAAAATTTTCTAAAAAAAAATGGAAGCAATGGAAATAACATTATCAGAATTTATAGCCAAAACTTCATGCGATCCCGGTCTTGCACAAGATTTATTAAATCGTTAGTAGTTTTTCGGTTTTTAATTGATTCAATGATTGATTTTTACTATCTTTTTGTTTTTAGATCATGGTTGGAATTTAGCAGCTGCATTAAAAAGTTATTATCCAATGAATGATATAATTACATCGATTGTAACGGATAATCACAATGATGAGGATGATGATGTGAATGATGATGATAATTTTAATTCAAAAGAATCATTAGCAACAATATCAGCATTAACAACAACATTAAATGATATGAATGGACATCATTATTGTTTGAATCATTTAATATCAACAAATATTACTACACCATCAGCAACAATAACAACAACAAAAGATACATTTTTAATACCGAATAAATGTACATCTGAACCATCACTTTCATCACAATCATCTGATGCATGTGATTCATCCGTACTATCAACACCAACAAAATTTCAATCATTTAAATATCATCAACGTAATGGTGAAATTTTTCCGGATAAAAAATTAAGCCGTGGTATATCAAGAGCTTCGGATAATGAAAATCTTATTTCGAAAGCACGATCAGAAGTAGCTGAAGATTTTAAAATATCACATCGTGGTAGTCGCCTGTTGAATATTGATAAATTAATTGAAACACCGGAATTTACATTCACGTTGCCCGATATACATCGATATGAAGATGAATTTTATGAATTTCTTCGTAAAGATTTGATTGAAAAATCGACAAAAGCATCGTTGGAATCATCAAAACGTTTAAATTGGTGGTCTGATATTTGTCATCGTTTATATCCTCTAGTCACTTCGGGCGATGGCAATTGTTTATTACATGCCGCTTCATTAGGTAAATTGTAGTTAATAATTGAAACAAACAATGGTTATTTACGGATTTTTTCTTCCTACAAAAATATCTAGGAATGTGGGGCTTTCATGATCGAGGTCTAATTTTACGAAAAGCACTTCATCTTATGTTGGCCAATAGTTCATATACGCAGGCATTTTATCGTCGTTGGCGTTGGCAAACACATTTTCAAAATTCTAAAGCCGGTCTATTATTATCGGAAAAAGAATGGGAACATGAATGGGATTCAATTGTACGTTTAGCATCGACTGAACCAAGATCGAAAAATTATGATTCGGGTAATGAAATGACTGGTGCTGGTGGTAAAAAAGCACCAATAGATGAATATGAAGAAAAATCATATATCTATGAAAGTTTAGAAGAGATTCATATATTTGTATTGGCACATGTATTACGAAGACCAATCATTGTGATTGCTGATACTATGCTCAAAGATTCTAAAGGTGAAGCATTTTTTCCAATACTTTTGGGTGGAATATATTTACCGCTTGAATGTAATGATGATTGTCTGATGAAATCACCGCTCTGTTTAACATACGGTAAGCATTTTTTTTGAAAAAATTTAACTTACGACGAATGCAAAATTTTCTTAAAAATCAATTTTACAGATTCAGCACATTTTTCAGCATTAGTAGCCATGAATATTGAATCACAAATGATTAACAATTCGAATGAATGTCTTCCATGGGCTATACCATTAATGGATGTTGATCATAATGTTTTACCATTACATTTTGCTATCGATCCGGGAAAAGAAGTGTTCATTAATGATAATAATAATAAATCAAATATTGATTCTACGCTCAATAATCTAGCCAAAACATTAGTGTTAACCGAACAGGATAAAATTGAATTATTGAAAAAATATTTCGATATTTTAACACTTTCACATAAAAAAGAAAATTGTATTGAAAAACCGATACCAATTATTGTTACTTCGGTTGCTGATGATGTTAAAACGAATTCGGTGACAACGTCAACAGCAACAACAACAACATCGACAAGTCTTCCTAAAACAACAACAACAACAAGCACAAAAGAAAAATCACAAACACTTCCATCAAATTTTGGTCGTAAAAATGGTGAATTTTCATCATTGATCATAAATGGTAGTGATTGTGATGAACGAAATAAATCTAGAGCCAAACATTTACTACAGAAACCATTTCAAACATTTGGTAAAATGGGTAAAAAAATTAAACGTAATCTTGGTCAATTAGCCAGACGATCAACATCATTTCGATTAACACGGCAAAAATCTTCGATAGAAAATAATCCAATCAATGTGATTGAAGAGAATGAACATAATGACGAATCAATAATAACTGCCAATAATAATAATGATAATAATCAATCTGTTATGATTAATAATCGAATCGAATCAATAATCAATACAGATAATTCAATATTCTATTGCGATACAAATGTTTTAGCTGCCAAATTATATATTAATAAAAAATTATCGTATCATGATGAATTAATTAAGAATTATCTAACAACAGCACGTGTACGATTTGAAACGGAACGTGAAAAACAACGAAGATTAAAAGAAATGGAAAAAACGTCTACCGCTGTTGCGGCAACAACAACAAAACCGAATGAAAAACAAACAGCATCAAAATCATCGATTACATCAACAATTAGTTCGGCCTCTTCATCATCATCCGCATCATCATCTGCATCATCACTTTCGGATGATGAATCAATTCCTAAACTAAATGATGGCCAAAATGATAAAATCTCTTTATCAAATTATCAATATAATTGTGTGAATAATGATTGTGAATCAAAATCAACAGCCGAAACAAATTTTCTTTGTCAATCATGTTTTAATGAACAGAAAAAAGCATTGATTAGTAATGGTTTTACGAAAATAACTGTCGATGAAAATGAAATGAAACAACAACAGCAACAACAATCACCGGAAAAATCATCGGAACTTGAAAAAATAATGGTAAATGATGATGATGATGATGATATTATCAGACAAAAATTATCGAATCAACTGTCAACAAAAACTACTACCAACACTGTTGTTGTTGCCGCTAAAACTTCGAACGATAATTTCATCACAAATGTGTGATATTTATCTTCTTTTTGATTCCCTTAAAAAACAATTCATTTTTGACCCTAATCTCGCCTATTCGAACAAATCCATGAAAATATTGCACACACACTTGGTTATAATCAAATCAATCAATCAAAAAAAATGTATTTTGTTTAACAAATTATATTCATTCATTCAATAATGACCACACATTATAAAAACATTCATTTATTTACAAAAACAAACAACTCAAAATTCTCATTTAATTTCATTAATATTTTATTCATTGTTGAATTTTTTTCACACACTAATTACACTTGCGATTCATTCGGTTTTTTTTAAAAAAAGCAAAAAAATCAATTAAATAAAATTGAATTTTTTTATATTTTGTAAAAATTAAAAATCCAAACTTGATTTATTTTTCCACAAAATACGACAGATGGCGATACGTGGATTGTACTCATCAAACATTGATCAAAAATGAATTGAATCCTGGTCCTCTTCTATAACGAAGACAACGAACAAGAATACCCAATATGTGACAAAATATACTGCTGCGATCAATGCGATGAGATACACTGAGCCGGCTCAGTCAGTCAATATTCACTCTCTTTCTCCCTCTCTTGGTGTATATGGTCTGTATGTAATGTTGAATGGATTTTGGTTCGATGATTGTTTTTCTCGCTATTGTTATTTGGTTTGGTTTTTCTCAGATTTTGGTTCCATAATCTAATTTTCTATTTTCTATGGTTCGTATTTTTTCATTATTTTCCCTTTTTTTCTGAAAAAATTCATTTGAATTTCGGTTATTTTAGTGATTTTTTTTCTCCTATTTGCGATTTCAATTTCCGAAAAAAAGACATCTTTAAGGAGAAACAATATGTTTTCTAATATCCGAACAACAACAAAATCGAATGATCTCATTTTTATGGTAATCCTTGGTAATTTTTGGTTGAATCATCTTCTTTTTTGGACCCTATTTTTTTGAATCTTCAGCATCATTATCATCAGTATTAAAATATCCGATATGATGGATCATCATCAACATAATAATAATAATCAACATGGACATCATGATCTTCAACAACAACATCATATTGGACATCAATATGTTCATTCTCATCCTTTAACACATCATCAACAATCAACAACATCTTATTATCAATCGAATGTTATCGATCCCTATATGGTATGTTTGTAAATTTTTTTTAATGAAATGATTTTTCATCTTTTTCATCTTTTTCATCTTTTGATCATCATTAGACCGAATCACATTTACAATTACATGGTGATAATTCAACAACAACAACAACAACTAGTCATCAATCTACATTAAACGATAATAAAAATACAAATAAACAACAACAACAAAAATCACTTGGTTCACCATCACAACAACCATACAATTCATTGTCAATAACAGCAATGTCACCAACATCTATATCACCTGTTTTACAGCATCAAGTTCATCATCATCATCATCAACAACAACAACAACAGCAACTTCATCATCAAACAACATTATCACCATCATCATCATCATCGTCAGCAAATATAATCGATTTACCACAAATTGGTCCACAAAATCGACAGATTCCATTTAATAATAATAACAGCAACAGTAGTAGTAATAGTAATAGTAATCATCATTATGAAACACCACCATTAACAATAACAACATATCAACCAACTGGAAGTCCAATTGCCGGATCATTATCATTATCAACATCAACATCATCATCGGCTACACCATCACCATTACCAATGATAACTGATGTTTCAAGTGGATCATCGATGGTGTTAAATCATCATCCTCATCATCATCAACAACATAATTTTATCAATGAAAGTATATCAACATCATTGACACATATATCGGAAACAACATCAGATGCTAATGAAACAAATTATGCTATTACACCACCACCACTACCATTACAATCGACCAATCATTTAAATCATCATCATCAACAACAACAACAGAATATTGGTCATCATCGTCATCATTTAATGAAAAATTCAACACCACATAATTATCATGGCTCAATGGCCGGTTGGAATCATAATCATCATTTAAATCATCACCATAATCAACAACAACAGCAACAACATCATTCTGTTACACCTGATACACCATCATCACTGCCATTATCATCAAATTTGAATGCTCAAACACGAATCACAAAATCATCATTATCATCAATAAATCCTGCATATTCATTACAACAACTTGATAGCAATGATTGTTTTCCATTCATTTCAACCGAACAGAATAGTTCAACATTTTTATCTACATCCATAAATAATAGTCCGATTAATAATAATAATAATAATCAAAAAAATGATTCAACATTTATGGTTAAAACAGCTATTATGAATCGAAAATTTCTCAACAACAACAACAACAATCTACAGCATAATCAACAGATCACTCAACCATTGTTGATCAATAATGATGATCCAACAACAACGATACAACAACAACAACAAAAACAACGATCAACTGGCAACAAACTTGCAAATGATAATGATGATGATATGAAAAATCGTCTATTTGAACGTAGACATTTAATAATATTTAAAATTATTGAACAACTAGTCGATCCAACCAGTAAAACAATAGTGAAAGAAAATGTTCAAAAAAATGAAGAAATTATTATTGATATTGGTCATACCTCATTTGATGATTGGAATAATAGCCATAAGAATCATCAGAATAATGATAATTCAAGTAATATAAATAATAGTACATTATTAAGTAATCGATCTCATGGTGGTGGTAGTTCAGGTCTTTTAGCTGATGTTAGTAATTTAACAATGAATACTAAAAATTCATCTTGTTCATTGATTGATTCACCATCGATAGTAGTGGCAACATCATCATCATCATCATCATCATCACCATCAGTTGATATGATAATCGATGAAGATGTGAAATCATCATTGAAAAAATCAGATCAAATAACAAAACGTTCAAAAGATTTATCAACAAAAAAATCAGCTAAATCAAATGATAATGTTGATCATCATCATCAATTAGTTGATGAAAGTAAAGATAAAGAAGCAGCAACAGCATTATTATCATTACAAAAAACACCAATAAAACAATCAACCATTGATTTACCATCGACAACAACAACGATAGTTACCGCCGATGATGATGATGATCGATTACCACAAACAGTGGAATTGAAAAAATCCAACGATACAGCAGCTAGCAACAATATTGTGATTGAACGTTTGAAACCAGGTATGAAAATAATGGCCAAATGGAAAGATAAAAATTTCTATCCAGCCGAAACGATAAAACAAAATGAAACACATCGTTGGATGGTACGTTTTGAAGATAATGCAACAAGAAATTTATTTGAAAATGAAATTATTCGTATTGAACATCTTGTCGGTATTAAGAATCAAGAATTAATGGTAAAAATATCGGATGAATTATGTAAAGCATCGATAGTGAAAAAAATGATAAAATTAGATGATAAAAATTATCAATTTGATTTAGAACATTCAGATGATGATGATCGTACTAAAGTGATTAAACAATATCAATTAAAAGATGTATTTCTTTATGGTGAACAAGGTACAATATTGTTGAATCAATTTTCCAAACCATCAATGATGGCAGCTGTTTTTGCTGATGTTGATTTGGATAATATTGTTTCGGGTAAACGTTCACGTAATAATAATAGTAATAAAAAAGAAGATGAAAAAAAGAAATCAACTATTGTTGAAACGTCTGATAGCATGTCCGATAATGTTGCTGCAACAATTCCAACGAAAAAACGTAAAACCATCAACAATATTAGCAGCAACAACACCAAAAGTGATCATCGATCATCCACCACTGTAACATCGAATAATTCAACTACAACAAATCGAACATTAAAAAGTCATAGCCTTTCAAATCATTCATTGAAAACATCATTATCATCGAATCGATTTACATCATCAATTGGACATTATCATGAAAGATCATTATCATTATCACCACCACCACCATTACGATTAACCCGGTCGATTGAATTGACCATTCCGCAAAATGAATTGGAAAAAATATTCGGTCCAATACCTAAATCTGGTTCCAGATTATTTCAAAATTTTGGTTTTATATTGACTTGTGGAAATAATTTCAACAACAATAATAACAATATCAATAATAATAATAATAATAATTTTAATGATGATGGTTTACTTGATTCGAATGATTCGGATTCAAATCCTGAATGTTCAACACCATTTGATAAAACATATCTTATTAAACAGATTATCAATGGTAATGGTAAAGTTTATGAATCATATGAAGAAATGAAGGTTTGTATTATTTTTTTTTAAATTGTTATTTGTAAATTGTAACTGAGAATTTTTTTTCTTCTGGTGATTATAATGCAGAAATCATCAAATGAATGTGTTTGTATAGCGGATACATATTCTAGATCGATTAAATTTATTCAATGTTTGGCCGGTGGTATATCGATTGTTAGCCATCAATGGATTATTGAATGTTGTCGTCAAAATCGTATACTTGATCGTGAATCTTATATATTACCAGCTGGTTATAGTATCATAACAAATGCATTATCATCCGATAAGTATGGCGAATTAATATTATTATTTTTGCAATTTTTATTGATAATTTTTTTCTTTAAAAAAAAGGAGTACATTCAAACGAAGTTCGGTTCTATTTAAAGGTGCAAAATTTTATTTCGGTTCAGATCAACCGGATAAATTAAAACAGCTTTGGTCACCAGTATTGTTAGCTGCACAGGCAACTATTGTACCAAATGATCCAAATATTCATAATACATTACAACGTTAGTATTTCTGAATTTTAAACATTATTTTTTTTTAAAAATAATTATAATTAAAATACAGGTGGCCAAATCGATATTGTGATTGGTGATGCTAGTTGCCCAAATGGTTTAATACAAAAAGCTAAACAGCTTAAAATACCGATTGTTGCAAGTGAATATATTGTACAATGTTTGATCAATGGACGTAAATTATCATATGATGCATCACCATCGTTTTCCTACTTACATAAATAAAAAAATGAAAAATGAAGCCCTAAAAAACGATTCCATTTACACACACATCTTGATTTTTTTTTCAAATTAACCAAAAACATCCACTCTCTCATCGTATGTCACACACTCATCTGGTCTTTTTTTTATCCATTTCTTTTTTCTTTTTGGCTATATATTTAATAAAATAATCAAATTAGGATTTTTGCAAAAAAAAATAATAATTAAAAATTTGTATAAAAAAAAATTTTAATAAGCAAAACTTTTCATTTCATTTCATTTTAACATTAATAAATGAATGAATGATATACCCTATTAAAAAAAATGAAGAGAAAAAAAAATGTTCAGATCAAATCAAATCAAATCTTTTTTTTGATGATGACAAAAGATGATGTTAAGGTAATGTAATGTTGAATCACTTGATGTATTATTATATATGAATAGCTATAAGATCATCATTATTTGAATTGGCGATTCACAAAAAAAAATCGATGATGATGATGAAACAAATGAGAGAGAAAAAACAATCACAAAACGGAAGCGTTGTTTAAGAAATAGGAAGCTTTCAATTAGAAAAAAACGACCATAATAATAACAATGACAATAACAACATCAAAAAAAATGAAGTTTTTGAGATGTAAACAAAAAAATATCTTCTTGAGGATAAATCCAACAAACAACAACATAAAAAATATGCAAATCTTATCAGTTCAGTTATCCGATGATGATGTTTTTTTTTGTTGTCAATGATGTTATTTCTCTTGTAATGAAATGGTCATTTGAAATTAAATTGCCACGTTTGTTTGCAGTTGTTGTTTTTTATTGCTTGCTTGATGATAATTATGATGACTCGGTTAATGAATTGATTAATTTTGATATTCCCATATATCTTTATCATAACCTTCTTGTACATGGTCCAATAAAGCTCGTCGTCGTGATTCACAATATCTAGAATAGAATAAATGAATGAAAATGGATAAGAATTGTAATCAACAACATTGAAAACACTTACCTATGTTTATCTTGTACTTTTTGTTTGATCACTGTTATATTATCGCCTGTAATTTCTCGTTCAAGATATTCAGACAATGTTTCGGTGGCTGCTTCCAAATCTCTTTGATTATCTTCAAATATAATCGATTGATTATTTTTGATCAGATAATAAGCAAAAACATATGTATACATTAATGTTAATCGACATTGACAAAGAACATCGACTGCTTTTTTCAAAAATTGTACTTCAATCCATGACATGTTATGTTGTTGCATTTCTTCCATTTTAACTTTGACTAATTCATATAGTTTATGTTCAAATTTTAAACTTTGTAAATGATTCATATAACGATTACAATAAAATAAATATCTTTGTAATGCTGATCGAGATTTTTCCTGTGCATCACGTGCTGCTTGTGCTTCAACTTCATCATATCGATTACAATTATACCATGAAGATCCATGTGGTTCCCATGGTCCAAGACATACCCAACAAAAATCTGCACGACAGGATTGATTTTTGCATATCTAAATTTGAAAAAATTGTAAAATTCGAAATCAAAAGGTTTAAAAAAAAATCCCATACCATATGATTACATCCACCATCTTTTTCGATCGTAATACGACATTTTGGACATTCTTTTGTATTGGCTGCTATCCAATTCGATGTTTCACTATCATCATCGCATTTCTTTTTCCATTTTTTTAATAGATCACATTTTATTGGCTCATGCCAATCTTCACTACATAAAACACTATATAATATCATAATTAGTCATCGATATCAATGAACTTTTTTTTCTCTATTTATATCAATAACTTACCAGAAAATTTTACCACAATAACATTTAACTGGTCTGAAAGCAACATATTCAACTTGAATGACACGTGAACATTCTGGTTTTGGACACCAACGAAGTAGCCTATTACACTAATATTTTCAGAAATATCAAAAATAAAAATCAAATTTGGAATTACAATAATAATCGATTATTTACCTCAACAAAACTATTAGTTATTAAATGTTGATATCGTAATTTGACTTTAGGATCGGTAACCAAATTGAAAACAGTTTGATCATCAACAAGAATGTCACAATTATGTGCTGCACAACAAATCGATTGTCCTTGTCCTTCTTCCATTATTTTTGTTGTCAAATAATTTGTCCAACATTCACGACAAAAACGATGTTCACATCCTAATCCGGTCATTAACTGTAGGAAACAAAAAACAACAATGATGCTGGACGAATCGAATCGAATCGAAATCAAAAAACATACCGATGATGGATATTCCACACAGCATATATTGCAGAATTCATTCCCATGATATATTGGTTTCTTGAAAATCAAAATTTACATTTCAAAAAAAATCCATGAATTAAAAACAACAAAAACATACCTTTAATGGACGATAATTAGGATTAACAATATGAGCATCATGAAATAATTGTGTTTGATCACCATCATAATATTTTTCATATAATTTTTCCTTATCCCATCGAAAATGATTCAATAAAATACGGGTGATTGTTTGTGGAAGCTAAATTTTTTTTTGTGTAAAAAATTATTTCATTTTGATGCAATAAAATTCACAAAAACAAAATTTACCTGAACAACAGTATTGACTTCTTTGATCGTATCAATCATATATCTCATTATATCTTCAGTGGATAATACTTTATATGGATAATCATCATCATCATTATTACCATCCATATCCATACCATCTGTACGTTGTCGATGAGAATTACCAATATTTGTATCCAATGCTAATAATACACTATCATCATCAAGATCTTCATCATCATCATCTTGATCATCATCATCATCATCGGTTGTTAATGGTGGTGATGATTCATTAATCGAATCATCATCATCATCACAATGTTCATAATCGGACATTATCATTTAAATATTTTTTAAAAAAAATTGAAAACAAAATAGAATTCCTAAATGATTTTAAGAACAAACAAACAAACAAAATAGATTCTAATCAAATTCGCCAAAAAAAAAGTTGAATTAATTTTTTAATGTCGAAAAACGATACGATACGATACGAAAAAAATTGATGGCTTTTTTTCAAGGATCAATCAGCCTTTATTATTATTATTTTAATATTATTAATTTTTCAATGCTAAAACCACCATCACCTTGTTGAAATGGCCATACAAACACAAACAATCACATTTAACACAAACTTCGAATTGAAGACAGACAACAAAAAAAACGATATATTTCGATAACAAAAATAAAAATAACTGGCAGCAGTAATTTTAAAATATTGATTAAAGTTTGATAAAGAATATTCTTGATATTTTTTCTTAATACGACGAAAATGTCATTGTTTTTTTTTTTGGTTGATAAATGATGAAATTCTTGTTTTTTGTTTTCTCACTCGTAAAATAAAAACAATTTCATCATCATCATCACAATGACAAGGTTCTTGTTTCGTTTTTTTAAAACAAAGTTATTATTATTTTGAGATGCGAAAACCAAAAACAAAAACAAAAAAAAACAAAAAACACAAATAAAAAAAAGGACTACGAACTTGAATTATTGTCGTTCGTTCGTTCGATTTTTTTTTCTTGTGTTGTTATGAATCGGATGTTAGTAAAAAAAAAAAAAAAAATACAAATAACAGACACCAATACTACTACCCCAAACATTAACAATGACAATAACAATTC